TGAAGGGGAAGGACAAAGGAAAGTGTCGGGAAGATTCGGTGGAACGGAGTGATCGAGATGATGATGAGGAAGACGAACCTCGAGGAGGGAGAGGTGATTGAGGGGGCAAAAGAAGGCGAGGGAGTACAGATCGAGGAGGTCAGGAGGATCATGGCCCTGTGAAGAGGGGGACGATATATATGATTTGGGGAGGCCCGACTGACGGGGACTCGAACAATGCGAGGAAGGGCCATGTTCGAGCGATGAAGAGAAAGAGAGAGGAGGTGGGGATTACTGCTCGAATGCTGGAGATAAGTTTACGGGCAGAGGATGCAGAGGGAGTGGTGTTGCCCCACAATGATGTGTTGGTGATAACAGCGGAGGTGACAGGGTTTTGATGTGAAGAGGGTGTTCATTGATACCAGGAGTTCGGTAGATATAATGTTTTATGATTGTTTTGTGCAGATATACAAGGAGCTTAACCTCGAGCTGAAGCCGGTAACCACAACCTTATATAGATTTAATGGAGGAGAAGTGATGCCAATGGGAGAGGTGAGTCTATCTGTTGCTTTAGGGAAAGGGATGACGAGGAAGGTGAGGATGGTGAGATTTGTGGCCGTGGGAGCGGAGTCATCATACAACATCATAATGGGAAGGACCAGTTTAAATGCATTCCAGACAGTCGTATCAACGTACCATATGACGATCAAGTATCCAGTGGGCGAAAACGTTGGTGAGGTCGCGGGAGATCAGCTGACCTCGAGGAGCTGTTATCAAACCACGATGAGCAACAACAGGCAGCTCTCGAGGAAGCAAGTGAAGATCGAGGAGGGAACATTGAGTCGACAAGGGAGTTCGAGGTCAAAGGAGGAGAAGGAGAAGGCAGATAAAGGGACGGAGAAGGTGGAGATGCGGCCAGGAGAGAAATTGAGGAGGTCCAGATGGTGGAAGGGTGTGAGGAGAGAAAATTTCAAATAGGAAGGGAGCTCGAGGAACCCATACGGTCGAGATTGATCGGGCTAATTTGGGAGTTTGCGGACATATTCGTATATACCACAGAGGAGTTAACGGGGATAAAGGCAGAGATAATCGATCACAGATTGAATATTGATTTGACGGTGAGGCCGGTGAAACAGAAGAGGAGATACCATGAAGCAGAGATGGACAAGGTGATTGAGCAGGAAGTTGAGAAGTTGTTGAAGGCGGGTCATATCAAGGAGATCCAGTTCCCCGAGTGGTTGTCGAACACGGTGATGGTATCTAAGTCGGGAGGAAAGTGGAGGATGTGTATTGATTTTCGTGACTTAAACATGGCATGCCCGAAAGATCTATATCCATTATCTAGGATCGACCAGCTGGTCGATTTTACCGCGGGTTGTGAGTTTCTCAGTCTTATGGACGCGTCCCAGGGATATCACCAGATCCCTTTGGCTCGGGAGGATAGAAAGAGAGTGAGCTTTGTCACGAGCAGGGACACTTATTGTTATGTGGTGATGCCCTTTGGTTTGAAGAACGCAGGCGCGACGTATCAACGGCTGGTCGATAAAATTTTCAAAGAGCAGCTGGGAAGGAATATGGAGGTTTACGTCGATGATATGCTGGTGAAGAGTAAAGTGGAGGCCGATCACGTGAATGATTTGAAAGAGACGTTCTCGACTTTACAGAGGTATGGCGTGAAACTAAATCCCGCCAAGTGTTCTTTCAGAGTGAAGTCGGGAAAATTTTTGGGATATATGGTGACAAAGAGGGAGATCGAGGTTAACTCGGAGAAGGTGAGGGTGGTGATCGAGATGCAACCACCCACGAAGGTGAAGGAGGTGCAGATTTTGACGGGCGGAATAGCGGGCCTAAGTCGTTTCATATCGAAGGTGGCAGAGAAGAGCGGCCCTCTGTTTCGAACACTGAGGAAGAGCTCAAAATTCTAATGGACGGAGGAGGCCCAGAGATCGTTTGAGGAGTTGGTGTTAGCCAACCTACCCTTGCTGGCTAAGCCGATCCTCGAGGAGGATCTAGTGCTATACATATCGATCGGAGAAGTGGCGGTGAGTTCACTGTTGTTGCGGGAAGAGGGCATAGTGCAATTCCCGATAGAGAGCGGAGAGGAGATACTCCGAGATTGAGAAATGTGCCTTAGCTGTGGTGGTCACGGTGAGGAAGTTGCGGCCATACTTTCTAGGCCACAAGGTGAAGGTGAGAACAAACATGCCACTGGGAGAAACGTTAGGTCGACCCTCTGTATCGGGTCGACTAGTGAAGTGGGCGGTCGAGTTGAGCGAATACGCGATAGCATATGAGCCAAGGAGGGCGATTAAGGCACAAGCGTTGGCTGATTTTATACAAGAAGGTACAAAAGTAGAAGAGGAGGCAGAGGGTGTTTGGCAAATGTTTGTTGACGGCTCGGTATCAAGAGTCGGAGGAGGTTTGGGCATTGTTTTAATTTCGCCTAAAGGAGATAATTTGGAGTTCGCAGTCAAAGTTGGGTACAAGGTGTCGAACAATGAGGCGGAGTACGAGGCGGTTATTAAAGGAATGCAGTTAGCCATGGCGGGTGGAGCTCGCAAAGTTCAGGTATATTCTGATTCTCTGCTGGTAGTGGGCCAGTTTCTTTGAGGTGAAGGAGGAGAGGATGCTACGGTACGTGGAAGAAATGAAGAGGTTGCGTGAAGAGTTTAGCTCGTTCGAGCTGGTGCAGATACCCCGTGGAGAGAAAGGTCGAGCAGATCTGTTATCCAAGATCGCGCAGAATCTAGTCGTCTGTAAGAGCAGAAGTGTTACTTTGCTACACATGGAGAAGAGTGTGGTCGAGTATGAGGTGGCGGAAATAGAAGAGGTTGACGACTGGAGAGCCTCGATACTGAAGGATTTGAGAGAAGGAGGGACGAAAGTACTAAGGAGGTTTTCGAGCACGGAGGGGGTGTTGTATAAGAGGTCGTATGTCGGACCTCACTTGAGATGTGTCACACGAGAAGAAGGTCGATACGTATTGAAGGAGACCCACGAGGGATGTTGCAGCGATCACAGCAAGGCAGGTTCCTTAGTGGCAAAAATTTTGAGGGCAAGATATTTCTGGCCGACCATGAAGGAGGACGCAAAGATGATGGTGAGGAAATGTTTGCAGTGCCAAAAACATGAGCCACTTATACATCAACCGGCAGAGACTATGACCACAATGAGCGCTCCTATCCCATTCGCGCAATGGGGTGTCGATCTAGTGGGGCCGATGCCGCAAGAAACTGGGCACATAAAGTTTTTGATTGTGGCGGTGGATTATTTTACAAAATGGGTGGAGGCCGAACCGTTGGCCAAGATTACGGAGGAGAAAGTCATACAACTTTTATATAACAATATTTGTTGCAGGTTTGGAGTCCCAAAGGTGTTAATATCCGACAATGAGACACAACTCAGTGGCAAGCGGATTCGAGCGTGGTGCGATGACATGAAGATCGAGCAACATTTTGCATCGGTTGCTCATCCGCAAGCCAACGGGCAGGTTGAGGTAACAAACGGAATCATACTGAATGGTCTAAAAATGAGACTGGAGAAGGCGTCGGGCACATGGGTTGACGAGCTCACCTCAGTACTTTGGGCGTATCGAACAACGCCAAGGTCAACCACGAGAGAAACATCATTCAGTCTAGTTTATGGTATGGAGGCATTACTCCCGATCGAGATCGAGGTCCAGTCACAGAGATCGAGCGCATATGATCCAGAGCAGAATAAGAGCTTGATGATGGCAGCCCTCGACACGATTGAAGAACTTCGAGAACAGACCTCGATCAGAGTTGAGGCGTACAAACAAAGGATGCGAGCAGCACATGACAGGAAGGTGAAAGTCAGGAGATTCTAGGTGGGTGACCTGGTTTGGAAGAAGGTGGACGTGGTGAAGCATGTGGGCAAGCTCGAGCCCAACTAGGAAGGACCATACTTGGTCGAAAAGGTTCATGCGGGAGGAGCATATTCGCTTAGAGGATGCTTGGATATACAAAATTTTAGATTTGATTAGATTTTTGGGTTTGGTTTGGTTAATTTTGAAAAAGGTGATATGCTTAGTTGTTAGTGAATATATTAAAATAATATTTAAAATAAAATAATTAAAGTTGATTTGATGTAAAAATAGGAGAGAGGTGATGTGATGTGATGATTAGTTAAAATTATGTGAGTAATGGATAGTAAATTAAAGTTGATGTGATGTCTAAGAATGATTGGTTGATATTATTTAATTATATTGATAATATTGATGATAGTGGAGTTGAGTTAAAGTTGAGTAAAAAAAATGGTTGAGTTAAAAATGTTTGGATTTTTTGAGTAGATTTATATCCAAGCATCCTCTTAAGGATGTTGAAGGAAGACTACTCCCCAGTCATGGAATGTGGCTAACCTGAATAAATATTATGTTTAAATTTTTCCTTTCTTTTTCTTTTTCTTGTTTCTCTTGTTGGAAACTTTTCACAACAATGATGTAATTGAATTCTCAATCTTGATTAATGAAATTCCCGTTTCAATCTTCAACACTTTGCCTAATCGATTGTTTTAATTCTATTGTGAATATGTGGTGGCCTATATTGACTGACTGATCGAAGAAAAATCCATCATGATTAAGGCCGAGAGGCTGGATGGTCGCATGTAACGACCACCCCTTTGAGGGTGGACATGTGCTCTACAAAAAATCCATCATCCCCCAACGAACTTTTCGAAGCGAAGTGAAGTCAGGCAAACCCGTGCCAAATCTTGAGTTCCTCGCTGCTCTATTTTTCCAAAGGCAGTGGAGGGTGGTAGATGAGGAGATGGGAAGAATCGTTCCTTTGCTTGTTTAAGACCTGCCCCGAAAAGCTGGAACCGACGAATATGAATGTCGCGTAAGGGGACGAAGTAGGCTCGACGTTGATTAAGGCCGAGAGGCTGGATGGTCGCATGTAACGACCACTCCTTTGAGGGTGGACATGTGCTCGAAGACAAAAAATCCATCATGAATAAAGCCGAGAAGCTGGATGGTCGCATGTAAACAACACGTAAGTTGCGGACACATGAATAAAATGATATTCCATTATAAATCCCAGTATCTGCTTCCCTAAATATTACAATTCTTTCTGATTCGTATTTTTTTCCTCCCCACCAAATTTCTCCGAAAACACTCTAATACAAATTTTCATTTCCAGTCAAATCCTGGAAGGGTCTGTAAAAATGAACTTTTAAAAAAATACATTTTTCAAAGTAAAAGCAATCACAAAAACAAGATTTTAGTGTCGGTGCCTTGTAGTTGAGTTTCGGACAGTTACACCATGCAAGAACTTTGTAAATCCGAGGAAACTCAATTTCCGGTCAGTTGGTCTGATCCAATCGTTGAGTAGAGAGTAAGCAGTAGGACCTAAGCTCAACTCCTGTAAATACAAATTTTAGTGCATGCTAAAATTAATAACAAACACGGCGAAATATACAAAATATTAGGTCTATAGACTGAACGTAACACATAAAATAGTCATGCACTTGATTAAAAAAACGTTACACTCCTAAGAAAAAAAAATATATACATAAATATATATAATACATTCCAAACAACACTTTGCATAATGAAAACATGATTTGTCCTCTTAATACTTGAGACAGGCTTTACAGTAAGTTCTGTATTTACACTAGTTCTTCTAGTGAAATACAGAAGGTATCTTTCAGATCTAAATAGGAATGAATAATTACAAAAGTTCGAGTTTAACTAGATTACACATAGCTCTAGTTATTATCCAATATGGACCTCATAGTCCTTCTGAGGTCCATTCTGACCATACTTATAACCCCTACTTGAGAAGAAATGAAAATTGTTAAATGTGTATTTGCAATTTTAAAAGACAACTATATTTAAGGTAAATTTCTAGTAAACAGCCACGCCACAAAACATTTATGCAAATATATANCCATCTTTTTATAGGATAGAGGTTCCATCTTTAAATTTGAAAAACCAAAAAAAAAAAATGATTCTTAGTTTGTTTTGATAGTCTTCGTTATATCTGAGGATAGGTAACAAGAACAGAGCCTCCCTAATAATTTTTATATTTTAAGTAAAGCACGGAAAAGAAAAATCATTGAATTAAGATGACGTAAAATAGTTAAACAATAAATGTATGTGGCAAGAATCACACATGCACATGAAGTAGTAGTAATCAGAAAAACATATTACAGCTGCAGTTTTCACTAAATAGCTAAATGAGTAGAATAGTTTTCAATAATAAAATGAGCACAGAAAAAAGGTAGCAGAGTGATATTATGTTAGTTGAGAGTCATTATAAAAAAATATATCACCATATTCAAAATGTCAGTAACTCTTGATTCCTTCATGGCATCAGTTGCATTTCCCATGAGTGCCTGTAAGGTCAGAGGATTAATATAAGCCCATGTTTTAGCAGGTAGCACTATGCACCAGTTAAAATAAACGGAAAANATAATAATAATAATAATAATAATAATAATAATAATAATAATAATAATAATTAATAATAAAAAACAAATAACTTAATAAAAATTACCAATTAAAAGAAACAACGAAACAGTACCAACCATTCTGAAATTAGTAAGGGAAACACAACCATCTTTCGGTTCCAAGAGTTCGAATTGAGCTTTAAGGTAGTGGAGTTCATCCTCTGTCAGAGCTTTTGAGATTGCCTAACATAATCCATATGAATTCATCAGAAAAAGGAAAACAAACATTCACCAAAGACTTAGTAAATGAAGTTCTGAATGTATTATGAGATTATCTAAATACTTCCACCTACAGGCTCTTCCCATACATAGATACATGAATGTACAACAAAAACATACTTTTAAGGCAGCACGTTTCAAAGGAGTGGCTCGAATGTATGACTTGATTAATCTGTAGATTGTCACGTCTAACGGTATAGTGCAGTTTAGGCTCCTTAACCATGGGTGAGCTGAAAATGATCAAGAGACATATATCAATTACAAAACTCATTGCCTGGAAACTTTCAATTTTGACCAGCAGACTGCAGAACTGAACTAAAGTCAGGCGCACACACAAACACAAGCAAGAATAATTTAAACAAATCAAGGATTGAATTTTTTTCAAAATACACAAAAGAGTCCAACTACCTTTAAGAAAAAAAACCCTCCGAATTTGCTTAACCAGTACCATCCTCTTAAGTGTATAACTTGTAAACAAGTAATAACAACTTTAATCAGTTAATTTGATATATAGCTGGTTCTTCATATTTAGAGCAAACCCTTTCCAGAGACAAACAAGAATAATAAAAAAAATTATTTAATATACATACTTAGTGCATGTGCAGCACTCATTCTTTTCCTGTGATCCCTATTCAGAAGCCTCTTCACAAAATCTTTGGCCTCGGCCGAGACCGATGGCCATGGGGCATCATGGAAGTTGGGATCGGCTCTCAGCACCGAACGAAAGATTCCAGATTCCGTGCGCGCCCAAAAGGGACGGCTTCCACACAACAAGATGTACGTAATCACGCCAATACTCCAAATATCAGCTTCATTGCTGTAAGATCTGTGGAGCACTTCAGGTGCAACATAGTATGCACTCCCAACAATGTCATTCAGACGTTGATCTGGAATAATTAAGAAAAAATATACATTTGGAACAAGATTAGTCTTGTGGGGAAACCAGAAAAATCAAATAAAAAATAGCAAATTCAGATACTATTCACATTGCACTTCACGGTATCTAATTATATAATCAGCACAAGATATCAACGAAATAGTGATATTAGAAAAGCCGGAGGGAAACATTAGGCTCTTTAAAGGAAAATTTAGGGATGTATATAGGCATTTGAGATTGGTAGGTTGGAAAATGTGCGTGTTTTATATATTTTAAGTGTTTTTATACACTTCATTTAGTCGCACATCTGATTTACTAATTCTTTAGATGGATTCTCTTGCAAAGATATTTTTATAATTTATTTTCAAAATATTGAAGTATTTCCGTGCACGCAAGTACATCAAACCAGAGTTCAAATGGGCAAGGCCAATGTCGGCCCATACGTACCATGTGTGGAGTTAAGGCCTTATATATGTCAAAAGTTACGAAGATTCTAAGACCCATATTATTGTTAGGGGTTGGCATCATAGTGGGATTTGGTGGGCTATAAACTTGCTTTGCAGAAAAGATAAGAAAAAAGTACAACAAACATTGGCCTGTCCGCATGGATTGATTGCTTCTCTAGGAGATTGGGCATCCACAAAATGAAAATCCAGGCAGCTTTTACATATATATAGCAGAAGGAAAAGAATGCACCAAACAAGCTGACAGGAAATGAGGAGAAAAGCCAGGCCGCGGAGGAAACGAAGGAGGATAATCTTATTCTTCTCTTTTATTTATTTATTATTTTACGCTAGTAAGTTAGTTCTAGTCACGGTGATGTAGAACCTACAACTTGACTATGTTTAATTAATTTTGGGGATTATTATTTTCCTATTAGTGTGAAATTATGTGTTATTTTGAATGATAACCGTGTGATGTTTAATCTTATTCATCACTTAGAGAGTTTGTCTATCTATCTCTCGAATTCTACCCACAATTCGTAATTGATGTTTAGTTCGATTCGTCGTTAGAAACTAGCAAGTACCATTGGGTTTATCCAATAGGTCAAGCGTGTACATCTATTACTTAAACTACCCTATTTTTCTAAAACCCAAAACTACTATTGCATTACATCTCGAGAGAGTATTCTAGTTTATCCAATAATTAGGTTTACTGAAGGGAGTGTTTTGTTCAAAAATATTGTAAGGGAAAATTTGAGTAGCAGAACGCATTGCCGTCTAAGGCTAGTAATTCCATAATATAGTAAAAGTTGATGTCATAATTGATTAGATTAGTTGAGCAAGGGTTATTTCTCCATATATTTGTCTCGTTTGATTTTCTTTGTTTGGAATTTTATTATATTTTGGTTCCATAGGCTTTTGTTTACTTTAGATTATGAAAGGCTTGCAGGAAAGTCATGACGTTTTCGTAAACCACAAATTAAACTAAACCTTTTTAGTTAGCATATCATACACAACCTTTTCATAAATTGCAATTCCAAACATTGGGCTTAAATCGGGCTTGATTTAGCTAAGGTGGAGTTTGTACACACACGTGGATTTTCATCATAAAAATTAATTACAAAACAAATCACCAACTTTATCAAATTTCACAAATTTAATCAAATTTTTATGTCTACATATAAATATATTAAATTTTTAATTTCATGCAATTCGATACATCATGCCTAAATCTAGGCTGACTTGGCTTAGATGGACTCAATACTTATGGTCAAGCATGTTAATTGAGAAATAATAAATAAAAAATATGAAGCAGAACACACACATAAACAAAAAAGAATGTCGGCACACAATCATTATCTAACTTCCATTATGTTTCGGGCTTCTCTTATAACCGTCAGTCAACTTCAACACTATACTTAAAACAATGATATTTCTTGAGATTGAATCTTGGTATTTTTTCACTTTAGAATTATGATGTTCACATCTTAGCACCTTTCGTGTAGCCTCTTTTGAGAAATTACATACCAAATATCATATTCGTTTACCCATGACCATATTTGAGATTTGACAACCTAAAAATCTCACATGGTCGATCAATAGTTGGAGTTTGGACTCTATTTGCCATTTGGAACATTTTCCCTCTAATTTTTCTATGTGCAATGTGTGTGTATTTGACATTAATCTGCAAAAGATTAGCTAGATGAACCCGGATTTAGGCTTTGATGTATTGAATTGCAGGAAAACTTAAAAGACTCTTGTATTTTATATGCAAACTTAAAAAACGGTTGGTTAAATCTGCTATTTCGAATAAGTGATGATTTTTTTGTAATTAATATTATGATGAAAATTCACGTGGACGTATACAGCTCCCATGTTACCTTCATCGGGCCAAATTTAAGACACTAGGCCTGAAAATTTAAAAAGTCGTATATTAAAATGCTAAATTGCAAAATTTGCAATAAGATCATGATTTTTTTTCTACAACTAAGAGTTTATTAGATATCCAGCCCCATTTTATTGCTTTTGTCGTTTCAATATGATTTGATTCAAACTCCCATCTCCTTAAGATTGACTTATCCCACTATACAATTAAGTAGGAGTGGAGAAATGTCAACGAAAAATTAAAAATTCAAATTTGTCACGTTACGGCGCAAGATCAAATATGTACCAACTTGCACTTTACGCCAACTATTTTCATCAAGGAGGCTGTAGGAATTGTGGGAAAGAGTACTTGTTCCAAATGAAGTGTTTATTTTACCACAGCAAAACAATAAAATACCAAATTAGAATAAAGAAGCTTCTATTTCTTCTTCATTCATGACAATAGTTGACAACCATTTGCAGTGTACACAAACAATTCATAAGTTCTTGGAGGAGAAACACAGTCTAATGCTACGAATAAATTATAATCTAAAAACCATTTGAAAAAGATGGGATCTTTACCTGGCCTGATAAAATCAGATAGACCAAAATCTATGACCTTCATAGGAGAATCTTCATCTCTTGTGGCAAACAGGAAATTCTGTTCAATTAAGGCAAACCTCCAAATTAAATTGTGTTTCTTGCAAGAACAAGACATATTGGAACACTAGCCTGCTATACCTCCGGCTTTAGATCTCGGTGTACAACACCTTGTAGATGACAAAAGGCAACGACACTCAACATTTGCATCACTATTTTCTTGGCATCCTCTTCTGAATATCTTCCCCCTCTGCACCAAATAAAGCACTAAAATAATTAAAAAAGCTGATTTATTAACTGCTTATGTAGGTAAATAATTAGAGACATATGTTCATCCAAAGAATACCGTGCTAAAATACGGTCAAGCAGCTCACCTCCTTCACACAATCTGTTGAAATACAATTTCAGTCAATGCTTACAGTTAACTATACTTCTAGAAGATGCAAGTTTTCATGCGTGCACAAAACAAAATCATGCAACTGAATATGATAAAAAATGTTCACGATGTGAAACAAATAAAAGGATTTCTGGCATTGATTATTGAAAATTTACTCTATTCTGTTTAAAAATTGAGATTGCAGTTTTAGGACTTCAGAAAACTTAGATGATAAATCTTGAAAAATGTTAGCAACACCAGTTGTAAGAAATAGTTGAAAATGGAAAAGGTTGCCAAAATCATTTTCTATTTATGAAGAAAATGTTGGGATCTTCATAAACTGCTTATAGGCTCTTAATATGTTGCGAGCTTATAGTGAAACTTTATCTGTATATTATTATGTAAGTGAAAAAAAGAAGAAAAAAGTCATAGAAGCTCATCACACAAACAGAACTCAGAACAAGGTCGCGTACTCCATAACCACATAGACATTATTGGCATCTTCAAATGCATCATAAAACTTGATCAGATTTTTATGTCCAGACAAGGCCTTCAATATCTTCACCTCCCTACGTACATCTTCAATTGCTATTGCTGTCGTCATCTACCAATGAATTTCCAATATCATAACCATATTCTAAAGTGAAACATTGACCAGCCAACATATTAGAATGAATATTTTCACATGTGGGCGAGGGAGGGAACACCGAACATATAGATCATAAATAACCTCAACACAAAAATTCATGTACAAAATCTGAAAAATATTATGTATTAACGATTGTAATGTGCCAAGTTTTCACAGGATACCCTAAATATAAGAATCCAATATATTAATTTCAGTTTCATTAGGGTGCTTCTAGAGCACACATTCTGATCTTATAGCAGGTATTTAATTATGTGCTGCTACCCAACTTGTAAGGTTGATATATTGGAGCAATTTTCCGAATGATGATAAATATTGGCGCTTCAAGATCTAAGGAGTGTTAGCAATCACTAAAAAAGAAAGAAGTGGTCTAGAAAGTAAGAAATTCCACGTCTGTAACTGCAGAAAATCAGTCAGGGCTTAAAAACAAGGTAATGGTTGCTTAGAATCTATAATCCTTCGGCTAGTTTGACTTTTACCTATGGATAAGAATTCCTTTTTGACTGATACATCTTTTAGCTTGTATTTGCAAACACTACCAACAAGCAACATCCAATCCAAAACTACTTTTAGCCTCTACTTTGAACAAATCAAGAAGAAGTTTATTTAAATATGACCTAGTCATACTCAGTCCTTCAAGAGGAGCAGGATTTAGTGACATTGAGGCGGTTTCACAATGGCCATTAGGAGCCCACTTCTAGCAACGGGCCAAACATTTTTTTCTGCCACAAACGTGAAGAATAAAACAACCATTGAAGTGTAAGCAGACAAGATTCAACTTTTCAAGATTCAACGGGCCAAACATTTTTTTCTTCCACAAACGTGAAGAATAAAACAAGCATTGAAGTGTAAGCAGACAAGATTCAACTTTTCCAGATCAGTAAAACCCAATTTGAGCAGATCTGTAGAGATTCCATCAAACAGCTAAAAAAACCCAATTAGACAAACAAACAGATAAAACTAAAAAAAATAAATATATATATATATATATTGTATACCTTCGCTTTCGAAATGATCTTTACAGCTACTTGTTGATTTTTGAGCTCCCCTTTTTTACCTTTAGCCCAACAAGTATGCCCAAAATGCCCCCGCCCGACCTCTTTGCCCAGCTCATACTTGGCCGCGAAATTTTTTGAATACCCAAAGCTCTTATCAAGCTGCCGCTCGCCACCGTCGCCGGCCGCCTCCTCTGGAATTGGCCTCGCTGGCTGTGTGGCTGGCTGCCGCTTGAACAAAGCGGACATAATGGGCTTCGCCGGCGATGGAGGTGGCAAAGGCCACCGGAACTTGCGTCCGGGAGTCCTCGCCGGCGAGGGAGATGGCGCGATGCCGGCGGGGTAGGGACTCTGCCATGGACTCGCAGTGAATGACTGAGCTGGGGTGCCTCGTGCCGCACCGTTCGCGGCGGCGGACGGCGTCTGCGATCCCGATGCGGGGGTCTGTCGGCGGTGGTTGGCGGCGGCGGAGTTGGAGCCCTCCTTGTCGACGGAGACCGTGACGTTTTTGCTGCAACAGTGCCCCATTGAGTTCTGACTCTCGGATCAACTAAAAGATCTCAGAAAGAAAACGAAATAAATCAAGATTTGACAAGTCCGGCGGGAGAAAAACGACGTCGTATGCCAGCAGAAAACCGACCATTTCCTAATATTCAAATAAATCAGCGGCAGGTCAATTGGGCACGCTCAATGGGAAAGCTGAAACATCCATCCGGCTAGATTAAGTAAGTTACTCAGCACTGGATTTTTGCAGTGAATTACAATTCGAAATGGTGGGGCGAAAAGAAAAAAGAAAAAACACACAATTATATAAACAAACTATAGATACACGCATAAAAATGTGTGTGTGTGTGTGTGTGTGTTTGTGAAGGGGTGTTGGTACGATCAGACTTTGTGAGGGTAGAAAAACTCAAAACAGCCATAAGCTTTCAATCTTACTTTTTTACTTCATTTTAGTATTCTATAAATAAATTTTGATGTTAGATTCTTTTAACCGAGTCCAACTCTAGTAACGGGTCAATGCTTTGCAAATTGTCAAAAGGTATGAAGTTGTGTAGGGGTAATTGGATATGGTTTTCATTAGTTTTTTTTCTTTTATTTAATAATTAATTTTAAAAAATGTGGTATAGTTAATTGTTAGAAGGAATTTAAGTTTGAATTAAAATATTATTTAAAATAAAATAATTTAAATTGATTTGATATAAAAGTAAAAAAAAAATGATTGAAAGTCAAATTATGTGAGTAGATGAATAGTGAATTAAAGTTGATATGATGTGTAAAAATGATAAGTTAATATTAGTTAATTGTATCGATAATATTGAGGATAGTGATTTGGGTTAAAGTTAAATTAAATTTGAGTTTTGATTGGTATTTTTTTTTTTTTATTAAGTTTATAACCAGTCACACCCTTAAAAATTCATTTCTAGCTAGTGATTTTTAAAATTTATTTATTTTGTTGAAAAATTGCAAACATTTTAGTATGATGTACAATGATTGATAGGTCAGATTAAATATGATCAATGCAAGACTATTATAGTGTGATTTAATTTGCTTTTATTTTTATTGTTGAATCACATGTTGTGTGTAAACATCTCGATCCGGTCCAACGATGTTTGAATCGCTCAAATTACCTGCAAAACAACGTCGACGGTGTCCCATCCTAGAATGTCTTAAAGGTGTATTCATTTGGAATTTTTAAGGACTTTTTAAGACTTCAGAAATCTTGATTGACTTAATTTAGATTTTTTAGACTTTTAAAAATCTTGAGGTATTCATTTGAGATTTTAAAGATTTTAAAAAGTTTTACAAAATCCTGACATATTTATTTGAGACTAGGATTTGTCAAGACTTTTTAAGATATGCTTGGATTTCTAAAGAAGAAAACATATATGAAATCTGACTCCAAATCTCACCTTAAGACTTAAGTTTCATAAGATTCCTCTAAAATTTAAAAATCTTAAAAAGTCTCAAATCTCAAAAGGACAGAAAATGTTATCCGAAATCCCTATGTAATATTGATAGTGTCTGAAGGATTCAAGGTTGTAACGCCCCGCTATCTTACTAATATCAGAGTAAATTTTTCGCAATTATTATTTCGAAAATACTTATAAATTTTTTGAAATTTTTAACTTATCTGGGAATGCTACTAAAAATTTATTTGTTCTGAAAATCCGTTTTTCTTTAACTTGGTCTAACTGCTGGTTTAGACATAAAGAAAACAGATTATAAATTTTAATCAAACTAGCATGTAAACTTAACCCAGACCCGACTAGTGATCCGGATAATAACTGAAACATGTACATACTGACATGCAAGTTTGAAAACTGAAAGTTAGCGGAAGTAAAACGTGGCATAATATATATACAGACTGAAATATATATAAAAGTCCACAAAACGGCAACTGGCCGAGTCCACGACCACAATTACTACATCTGATCTCACGCCTGCGGCCTGTCCCTGTCATCTGAAAAAAAGATAGTAGTGGAGCGTGAGCACGAAAGTCCACTGTGCTCCGCAGAAACCCATACTAAAGTAAACAGCAGCAATGATAACAATATCATGATCGTCAGTATATATAAACTAAACTGAAACTGAAACTGTAACTGAAATCTCACGGCAATCTGGGTCGGTAACCATGTGCATACTCTGATGGAATATTAAGGCAAATTGAGCCACCACCAGAACCTAGGATGGGTTATTAAGGCAACTGGCCACCACTAAAACCTCGGACATGGTATTAGATATTATAGTCAATGTAATACCCCAGTCTGGGTCCCCGCCTGTATTGGAATGTAAGTGCTATGCTGGATAGCTGTCTCCTCAAGTTACATAAAAATATAAGCAAATAATATACTAAGTGTATGCTCAGAATACTCAATTATATGCTTAGATGCTCGGCTTTTAATTTCTAATTTATCCGGATTAACTAGAACGCTCTAAGGGTTCAATATAAAATTATGCTAAGTCCAGAATGAACTAATATAATTAAATTGAATTGATTTTGGCTCGAAAAAATACTAAAATTTCGGAAAACAACTCGGACTGAACTCACGAACTAAAAATGACTCGAACCGACGGCCGAACCGGCCGGTTCACTCGCTAACTGGAACGGATTGGACTAAACCGGTCTAGCTTGGACCACCAGTCTGCTGTGAACCGGGTAGTCGCTGCTAACTCGGCTGACCGGGCTCGGTCTCGCGTAGGGCCTGCTGGTGCCCTGGTGCAGCGTTGGGCACGATTGGGTGCGGTACTTGGCACAGCTAGGTGCGGTACTGGGACGACTGGTGCCACTCGAGTGCTACTGGACACGATCGAGGCCAACTTGCATACTAAATGGATGCTAATAGAGGGATAGACACTCAAGTTCAAGCACTCTCACTTAAACAACTATATGAGTTAAATGAACCCCTCTAACTCCATGATTTTTATAAAATCACACATGCATCCAAAATTACTGAAACTTAGCAGTTAAATAGTAGACATATTCAAGTACTTGCTGTTAAATTTTCAGCTCAATAGCACTTCATTAGCTCATTCAACTCAAGTGCTAAACTTAACACATAATTATACTAATTACACGCATAATTTCAAAGAATTTTATAAAATCCCATACTCATCATATCAAGCTGAAACTTAGTCATCTTTACCATCACTCATGTAAGAAATATTAATAAAAGCTTCACATTAAAAGCTTGAATGTGGACTGAGTTCTCTCGCAAATAAAATCAGCTTGACATGCATGCGGTTTAACATGTTTAACTCATTAATTTCTCAACATAAAATTCTAAAATTTGGCATGCACACTCTCAACATATAGATTGATATGTCATTTTTTTTCCCAAACGGTAGATATTTCTCATTTCATAAATAAAAAGTTCATACAGCTGAACATCCGATATTGAGAGCACCACCCACAGTGGCCTAGAGTACAACATCAACAACAAATTAAGAAACAGAACCACAACATACATTGACACCATAATTTAAATGAAACGCCGTAATATAAACAAAAACCAAACTGAGGCTCTCAACTTCCCAGATTTTTATTAATAAAGTCCTCTCAATCTTTGAGTGCCCCTTGAATAATGAGGTGAGGTGGCCTGCGTACTCCTTCAAACAACCAAAGATTTCACGACTTCCATAACCAATATAATATATAAGTAGAAAGTTGAACGCGCGCCTCGGAAATTTGGCTCTTGTCTAACTGGCATATCCCCCACCACCAATTTTTGAATGTCTCTGTACCTTGAGGTCCCACCCACTGAATTGGAGCTAATTTCCACACTGTACTGGCAAATTTACAATGAAAGAAAAGATGCTCAATCGTCTCCTTCTCCTCTCCACACTCTCTGCATATTTGATCCACATCAATTCCCTTTGCTCTTAAATTCATACTGACAGGCAAGGATCCATTACAACACTGCCAAATAAAATGTTTAATTTTCCCCATAATCTTAAGTTTCCAGGTTCTAGTTCTCACTTTCAGATCTATCATCAAGTCCTTACTTGACTGTGGTTCATCCTGTTGCAGGAACTTGTCAGTAATCAGTTTGGCATAAGTACTTTTAACAGTGAATAAGCCATTCTTTTGCAATGTCCACACCCAAGTATCCTCTGCTTCAGGTTCAAGTGAATCAATGCTTAAGATATCTTTGCAGAATTCTGGAGTAAAAGTATTACTGACCTTATTCACATCCCAGCTTCTGCCATCACTGTTTAATAAGTCACTAACCTTCTGGATTCCTCTATCAATACCAGGTCTTGTTTGGAATCCAATGTTGATCCCAAATTTGGACATCCTTGCCTGTTCTGATTTCAATCCTCATCCATTTCTTGCACTCATTCAATACTGAAAGCCAGCTGGCCCACATCCAAGAAGAATTTTGTGTTCTCTGAGCTTCAAACAAAGAGGTGTTAGGAAAATATTTAGTTTTAAGTACTCTACTAACCAATCTATCAGGTTCTGCCAGTAATTTCCACAGCTGTTTTGCTACAAGAGCCTTGTTGCATAATTGTGTATCCTGGAAACCCAAGCCCCCATGCTTCTTGGCCATAGTTAGCTTATTCCAACTCACCCAATGTATTCCCTTGTGAAAGTCAGCCCCTTTACTCCATCAGAATTGTCCACATATTTGAGAAATCTCTTTGCACACTCCTGTGGGAAGTATAAAACAAGACATTGCAAAGACTGGCATAGCATTCAATACAGCCTTAATCAAAATCTCCTTACCAGCTTTTGACAACCATTTATTCTTCCAACTCAAAATTCTTTTCCTCACTGTATTTAATATATAAACAAAAGCTTCTTTTTTTGATTTTCCCAAACCCAGAGAAAGCCCTAAATACCTGGTTGAATTGTGCCTTTGAATACCTGGCAACAATGAGCATATTCTATCTTTATCCACCTCTGATGTATTCTTGCTGAAGAAAATGGTAGATTTGCCCATATTTACTTGTTGTCCAGTAAACTCCTTGAAATAATGAAGAATCTCCAGTAGTTTTCTAATTTGGTCTTCATTAGCCTTGCAGAATAATAGTGTGTCATCTGCAAACATCAAATGAGTGATCATAGGTCCCCCTCTGGAAAGTCTGATCCCTGCAAAACTGCCTTTCTCCACCTCCCTGTTAATTCTTGCAGAGAGTAATTCAGAAATAATTAGGAACAAGTAAGGGGACAAAGGATCCCCTTGCTTAATACCCCTAGAAGCATGCACATATCCCCTGCAATTGCTATTAATATTAAAAGAAAAAGTAGGCCCTTGAATACATGCCATAACCCATTTTATAAACTTTCTGTGAAAACCCATCCTTACCATAGTCAACTGGATTGCTTTCCATTCCACACAATCATAAGCCTTTGCTAT